TGCTCTCTTATTGTGAGACTACGTTTTCTTTTTAAATCGTAAGAAATTTCCGGCTGATAAAAGAGATGATAAAAATCAGAAACATGAACAATTTGATGCAAATAGATATCTGTAACTTAACCTCAAATAGAGCGCCTTTCTGAAGGACTGGAAAACTATGAAAATCAAGGAGGCCGTAAAGATAGCCTAACTAATACTACAAAAATCATTCAAGAGGAAATGAGAAACTGTAGCGTCAAATATCAGAGTTTGACACTGCTGTTTCTCTACAAACACTCAGGTTGAAAATAAACGCAACAAGCAAACATTTCGTCAAATTCGGAACGTCATAACTGTTTTACTTTAACCTTGATTGTAGCCAGCGTTTGACTTGTACAGGGTAAATCAAAATGGCTTCGAGTCACTCTGTGGTGTGACTCCAGTTGCCAAAAAGTACTTAAACATCATTTTGATTCACCCTGTACAAGTTAAACCTTGGCTACAATCAAGAACTCAGATCTACACATTAATGCCGATCGGTGTACCTTCCGAAAAAATCAATAAAATCGAGGTAAAAATAAGAAAGTTATGACCTTCCGAATGTGACCAAATTTTTTCCAGTCGCGTTTCAAATTCGACTCTCGCCATTTGGTAAGAAATTACAGAAAAGGGATTAGCTTGCTAGCCTTAAAGTCGCGGTGTCCTCCCGAATGCTCCACCGTTCGATTTTCGTCCGTCGGCGCGCATGACGTCACGCGGAGAGTGATTGTTTGGATTGATATGCAATTTATTGCAAACAAAGCCGACCAAATTTTACAGCCCGTCATCTCTTTCTTCCACTAAAACTTTCTCGGTATAGTCAGCTGATACTTCAGGAGCATTCAGTTTATTCTCGTTAATGATGCGGTTAGTGGTTAGTGGAATGTCTGAAGTATCCTCTGACTCTTCTCTGAGTATGCGCCTTCGTTTCGCCCCAACATATATGACCTTATTCTATACTTAAACTCTAGAGGACTTGTATGGTCATGAAGACCATCTTTTGCCCTAATTACTCCGAAAAGTTTTCTATCACATCTTGATTGAGACGTCTTGTTAACAGGTATTGGACGCTGAAGCGTCGTTTCAGATCCTCTAAAGCATTTTCTAGCAAACCCTAGCGCTTTTTACATTGACTTTGTCTGATCTTTTTGTGAGATGTAGCCATTTTTTTGCTAAAGTTTGGGTCTTGAGGAAAACTGTGGAACTTCTTGTCTTTGCAAAGATTCCGCTTAGATTGATTATCGGAATTACATCCCATAACAGCACACCGCATTTTTATCAATTTCGCAACTACACATCGTATATAACTAATACAAGTCACAAACCCACCAAGAATCACCAACAAATCGCACTATATAGTATTAACCACGATACACGTGAACTGAAGTAACGTTACGACAATCCTGCCGCTGGTAACCACGAGCCGACAACTCTCCGGGTGACGTCACGAAGCTCCGCCCACGTGCGCAGTATCATATCTTCAGTGTATGTGTATCGTAAAGGCGGCCACTGACTGAAGCAGCGCTGTAATGTAATGCTCACATCGAGCGTTAAGGTGCGTTTACATATGAGCACGCACGCGCTGAGCATACGCGCACGCATTCGTTCGCGTACGTGGAGAGTGTTTAAACTAACATTCATTTTTCAATGCATGAGCTGCTCCAGTCGTTCGCGTACGAGGTTAACATGGAGAATAGACATACAGCCGCGGCAACATCTATTATGCTGCATAATTTAATTAAAATAAAAGAAAATCGGAAACGAAAGGAATTAGTATTAAACAGTCTGTATGATCAATTCAGAAATTTTACAGGAATGATCAAGACTGACTTTGAATACCTGCTTACGTTGGTAACACCAACGATAATAAAAATTGATACACAGTTTCGAAAATCTATATCTCTAAGAAAACGTTTAGCCATAACATTGCGTTTTTTTTTTGGCAACTGGAGACTACAGCAGCTTGCAGTATCCTTTTCGAGTGCCAAAATCTTCAATTTGTTTATTTTCGAGACAAAATCATCCCATCAGAATTTAAATTTTTTCTATGCTTCGCAACAATATAAATTTTCAATGCTACAATTGATTACTAGTTGTTTCCATGCACCATTGTTTTTCGATTTTGAATAATACTCTTCGTGCATAACGTCCCACAGTACAGATAAAATGGCGCCTATAAGAAAAAACAAAGTTGATGACGGAGCCAAGAGACGAAGCGTCATATTGAAATTCTAATTACGACATTTTCTAGAAGAGAAATATTAGCAACGTACTTTTTATTTTGAAATTCCATTTGAAAAAATAAAGCCAGTAAAGAAACGATATGATTATCCAGGAACGATTACTTATGTACCTACACAGTTACCCTCCCATTGGCTACCCCTAACAAATTTTAGAAATCTTTGATCTAGAAAGTTTCAGGGAAAGGCGTGATAAGTGCTCCGTCAATTTTGTGCGTGATATACTCCACAGTTGCAACATATTACATAAATTTAATTTTCTTGTTCCACGTTTAAATCCTATATAATTTGATGCTTTTTATTTGATTACTCCTAGAACAAACATAAAAGTTTTCTCCACTATTTTGCTATTGTGGTAGGGCTAATGACGTTGCAGAAGAATTGTATATATTTCTGTAAGGGCCTGTCTGTTTTTTGATTTCTTATCTGCCCTATGATATTTATAAATATTTGTAAATAGTACCTTTGTGTTTGAACTACCTATCCTTGCTTGTATTATGAAATAATTGTTTCTTTTTGTGGTCCTACCTGTCTCATGTTCTGTAAATGGCTGATGCTGTTGAGTTACATATGTATAAGTAAATAAATCAAATTCGGTTTCTTTCGCCTATCTCCGGAAATACTCGGAATTACGAAACTTTATAAGTTAAATTTTCTTAGTTACCTAAATGCGCAGCTTTGCCTCCACTTCTGCTTTAGTCTCACAGTGGTCGATGACTGTGTCTGGTATCCGGCCGTGTGAATACCGTCTATAATAGCATATCAGAATGAACGAAATTTGTGTGACGGGATTTTGGACACGTCACTAACAGACTGGCGACTAAGCGAAATAACTGTGACAAATTGTCATACGAGGGATGTCTTTTAAGTTTCGCGTATGGAAATAAAACAACACGGTAGGTAGTTTTAAATGACTTTATTGTCTTTTGAAGTATTCTCCACGAAGGTTAATACACATCTACCGTTAAATACTGCCTTGTTTTTTGGGCTGTGTGCGAGCTTGCATTGTCTTGGTGGAGGATGATTCTTCTTTCGGGGTTGATTTTTCGAAGCTCGGTGATGACTTTTGGCAAACAAATACTAATCCGCAGTAACAGTTCTTTGATCATTAAGAGAAATTGTTGTCATATGACCCGCTTTTGACACAAATGTCGCGACCACCTTTTTCGAAACACTTCGAGAACGGATGACTTTTGTTGACTTTCTTCACCTTGGAACACCCAAACAGCCGACTGTCGTTCATTTTCTGGTTCATAACAGTAAATTCACGATTCATCACCACTAACAATGCTGTACACATTTTTGAGTTTCCGGAATTGAAACGGTCAAGCGTTTTTTGACACCAATTAACCCTGGCAGCTTTCTGCTCTTCAGTCAACAGGTGGGGTATCCAACGAGAAACTAATTTTCTTACTCCTAATTCTTCATGTAAAATTGTTTTAATTGAGGTGTTTGAGATCTTCAAGGACGCCTCAATCTCGCGATATGTCACATGTCTATCTTCAATGATGAGTTTGCGCACAGCATCGACGTTTTCCTGGGTGACTGCCGTTTTTGGTGCACCCACCCTGGGATGGTCGCTAAGACTCACCCGTCCACGTTTGAATTCTCCATACCAATGGAAATTGTCGACTGATGTGGCGCTTAGTTGCCGAAAACAGTCAGTAACTCAGCAACGCATTCTTGTTGCGATAATTGTCTCTGAAAGTTGTAATAAATTATGGCGCGAAAATGTTCTCGGTGAGTTCCATTTTTCTAATGACTTGGTGACACTGTAGTGAGAACACTGCACGTATCGTTTGTGAAACTTTGAATTTAAGTTTACTAAAGAGTGAGGTTAAGATTCAGTACTGACGTTCGATCCGCGCAGCCTACTAAGTTTCTATATGCTAAACTTAAAAGACATCCCTCGTAAATGATGATTCATCATTTTAGACCAGAGAAATCACGTGACTACCCCCTCGTCGGTTGTTATTGGAAACTCATATAAAATGTTTAGTTTGTCTGTAGTGATAGTCTCAGGCTACGTTTGATCACATCCTTAGAGAAAATATAATCATATTTACCACGTGAGAGTATCAACCATAACTAGAGATCAATTTTTTATTCGGAATTTCTGAACTCTGTATACAGGTTGTCTGATTCCATTCAACTAATAAATATACCCAATTTCGTGTTATTGCATATTATGCACCAATGATTCAGAATGCAATACCATCAATTTCGATGATTAGGGTCTTCCATGTCCGTCCGCCACCGGCAAATAAAATTCCTATAACGCTAACGAAATGGTCACTGATATCATCTATGATGCGTAACCCTTGCATTTTAAAATTATGCTATGACCTAAAACACCCACTTTTACATACTAGTTAGTCTACAGCCATCTAGATCAACCCGCAGGTAAGACAGCTTTTGTTTTTTCGCATCCTCAATATCGTACTAGCCTTGAACCCGGCTTATGTCCGAAAACGACCCAATTGGGATGAAATTTAATCACGAAATTAGATGAGACCCATTGAATTTATTGATTAAAATTTTTGTGTGCTTTATTGATGATTGATACGATATGTTAATGGAATTAAATAAAGTCCACACATTGTCCGATCATATAAACAGGTTTGCATACCAGTTCGTGCTCTCTTGGATAATCGAGATGTGATGGCTGAGAATAGTGACGTATAAGGTAATTTTCAATATTTATTACACGATTCGCATATAATTATATTGGGTCCTGTTTGGATTTTGTCGCGGCAGTCCATAGTTCGACGATTCTTGACGCGACATATACCGTAGATGCTTTCTGTTACGGTTTTGTAGTTTTTTGCGGTGTGAAAGTGTTAGTTATGTGATTGTTACCGATGAAATAACCTTGGATAAGCTTGTAATTCTTCAGACATGCAGTGCTTAACTAGTGTCAGCTGACAGTGTGACCGTGCGACGCTTTGTAATTGGAAAAACTGTGTTTTTTATGCCACAAAGTTTTACACTTCACTTTACTCTTTATTTGCAGCTATGGCACACATCTATGATGATTTATATACAGGGTGGCGTATCGAAAACGAAACAGACGCATTACTGACAGCTCAGTTTTTTTTTGAAAAACCCGTCGATTTTGTTTTCGAGGGGGACACAAGTTAGGCAATAAATCATTTTTAAATTACTTTACTTCCAAATGTATTGATCTCAACTAATGATGATGTATTAGTTTTATTTAAGCTTTAAATCAAGAAATCCTCAAAATTACTGAACTGACGTACATTAATTCTATATCATTATAAAGGGAATTGAAAGAACTTTAAAATAAGGTATCACTCGACCCCCCTTTCCATTTAAGATTTTGGGGGTGGTGTCACCCCCGCTTAGGGGGCTGCACGTGCTAACGTGATTTTTTGCCAAACTTGTGTCCCCCTTGAAAACAAAATCGACGGGTCTGAGCGTTTTAAAAAAAAAACTGAACTGCCAGTAAATGCGTCTGTTTCGTCTTCGATGCGCCACCCTGTATAATCGCTCTGAACATAATTTCAAATTAAATGCAAATAAATGCTCAGCACTTATATTTTACTCAGAACATGACAAAAATTAAATTAAAACAGGTTTGAATATAAGTATGAATAATGTAAGATTAGGTTTTTGTAATGTATCTAGTTTTAGGACTACATATTGATGAACAACTTTGTTTTAGAGAGCACATAAATACTTTAATTTTAAGAACTTTTGAATTCGAACAGTGTACAATAATAGATTTTTTTTTAATTATAGATTAAAGAAACATCCCTTAATTCTTTCCATTTTCAGATATGGATTTGTAGTGTATTTCCCTTGTTTGGAGGTAGTAGAAACAATTCAAACGGTTCAAAATACATGTTGTCGATTTATTCATGGACTGAGAAGATGTGATCATGTTTCTGAGAAAATCGAGAATTTAAATTGGTGTAAAATTTCCTTTAGTTTTAAATACGATTTTCTACTTTTTGCACATAAATTAATCAACCAATCCACGTATCCGTCATACCTCAAAAATAAATTAATTTTCAGATACAACATCCATAATTTAGTTCTAGGGGATTACTTATCTCCGGCTATGCCCTTTGTATTAAGTCTTTTCTATAGAAGCTATACCTATCAGTCAGTTTTCCATTTCAATCCACTCCATTTGGAAGTTAAAAAATTACCAATACGAAAGTTTAAGGTAACAATTAAAAAACATTTAGTTGGTATGCGCATGCAAATACATGAGATGCAAATAGATAATTTAGTGTAATGTAAACATATGTAAAATTATTTGTTTAGAACGGAGACTGACAGTTAGGTGTAAGAGTAGCTTTAAGCTAGTAGTTTATAGTAATAAAGACGATTATTATTATTTTTACATAATTATGAATAGAAGAACGTTATTTTTCACAACTAAATATTAGTGGTTTCTATGAAGGATACACAAATGTACGTTTGATAAAAGTAATGCCTCGTACATTTACATAAATTTGATTCTATCAAAGTGTTAACGTCAAAGAAAAAATGCTTTGTCCTTAAAAATATCAAATAAATAGAAAATGAAGCAGCTGCATAGAACAAGAAGATAACGTATTCATTGGATTGAACATGTTTAAAGTAATATAGCATTAGGCCCAATATTATGTGAGTATTTCGTAGTGAAATTGTCGAACAAGGTCAAAAATTCAATTGTCAGCAATATAACGAATTTCATATATTAGGACCTGATGCTTTTCAGGACAGGAGTAGCGAGAAAATGGAAACGATGCCACAAAGGCTAAAGTTCACATTTTTTCCGAACCCGTGAACTTTGGGCGCGTCTCTTCAGAGCGGACTGTTCGGCGTATGAATCTGAGATTTCACGAAGTCTGATGCGTCTACACAGGGTGGCCCAACGGCACCCCATATATGACTGTCCTGGCATATTTTGGGAAAACTGCTCGGACACGTCAAATTTTGATTTATAGGGAGACGTTTTTTCATCTATAGCCGTACAAAAAAATAAATAAAAGGATAAGATATTTAGATTTTTAAATGAAAACCTCTCACTTTTTTCTTTATTTTTAGATTCTCCATGAAGTTTCTTGTAATTTTTGTATAATAAACTCTATAAATATCTTAAATCGTTGTGAAGATGTTTGAATGTAAGAGCCCCGTCCCACTTCAGTTGGCCCTCTTCAAGATTTGTACCAAAATATGCCTTTATAAACTAATCTAAACTAAACTCCTCCAATATCATGAGAATGACCAATTTCGACTCAGACTATCGAAAATTGGATCCAAGAGCCTATTCGACCAATTTGTATCGTCGAGTACAAAATTCAGATTATACTAGGCGGTAGATTAGCCCTTCTGATTTATGAAAAATAAAAAAAGTTTGTCTCGGAGAGCGTTCGAATTGTCAGCCCAGTAAAACAGTGGATATTTTAAAAAAAATCACTTTTGGCTGAAATAATTGCCAAACGAATTATGAGATCACAATTTTTGAGTTCCACAATTCACTTTAGCGTACTGATATATGATGGGGCCCAATCAGCCAGGGTCAGGGGTAGCCAAAAAATAAAAATAAAACAAAGTTGTAAGTACGCTAAGAGTCACAGTTTTTCAGCACCATAAAACTTTGAGCGCGATTTAGGACTGAAATCTTACATCTCACTCCCCATAAAAAAATGAAACCCGATCTGATATATGACTTGTGAAGCCAGGTCGTGGAGTATTAGTTTTGACCCCGCTTCTTGTGTGATTATAATGGAAGCAACAACTAATACTAAGTGACATATAATCCGAACACCCAGTTTAAATGGTTTTATTTTAATAAAATTTTGTATAAGTACTTAATGAAGCATAATAAGTAAATGATAAAAATTTCACTGCTTTAAAACCCTTTGACCTTTAATAATGTGTGGATGCACCCTGATGTGCTATGCATTCTCCAACGCGCCTAGGCATGCTTCTGATCAGGTGGTCACTGTCCTCCTGTGGTATCTCATTCCAGGCAACCACCAACTCCTCTCGAAGTGCTCCTAGAGTCTGAGGAGGACGTTGCAAATTGAGCAATCTCCTACCCATCATATCCCACACGTGCTCAATTGGGGATAAGTCGGGAGATCTTGGTGGCCATGGTAACAATGTGACATCATTATGTTGAAAGAAGTCTACTGTGACTCTTGCAACATGTGGTCGGGCATTATCTTGTTGGAAAGTTGGATCTGCCAGGGTGTCAAGATAGGGTAAAAGATGGGGTTCTAGAACTTCGTGGATATAACGCTGCGCGTTCATGTTACCTCTGATGAAGATTAAAGGTGACCTGGAACCATAAGCTATAGCACCCCAAACCATAACTCCAACAGTGTGATGAACATGTCTTTCAACAAAAAACTGTGGATTCCTCCTTTCACCACGTCGCCTTCTAACCCTGGCACGACCATCGTGCATGCCTAAACAAAATCGAGACTCGTCACTAAAGACAATACTGTTCCATTCCTGATACCAGAGTGACCGTTGTCTGCACCACTCAAGGCGATTACGTCGGTGTTCTCGAGTTAAAGGGAGGACCCAGTGTGGCCGGTATGAAAACAAGCCAAAACTTCTCATTCGTCGGTAAACACTTCGCATGCCAATAGGTCTTCCGTGTTCTGCAAACCATTCATTTGCAATGGACCTGGTAGTGGAGAAACGGTCCCTTAAGGCCAATAATCTTAGGCGGCGATCTTCACGGTCTGTTGTTCTACGGCGGCGTCCAGTGCCCTTTGATCTTTGCGTACGGCCTTCTCGAAGCCATGCCTGACAACACCTAACCACAGTGTTTACACTTCTTTGCACTCTAACTGCAATTGCCCGAAAAGAAAGTCCAGATTCCCGAAGTCCCACTATACGGCCCCTATCAAACTCACTAAGTTGACGCAATCGTACAGGTCTCCGTACTCTAGGCATCGTAACCGATCGTAAAGGATGTCAAGAACCAAAATCCGCCAACGTTGATTCTTTACTGCGGCTGAAATATTCATTTTTAGAGCGTTAGTGAATTAAAAAAAGCAGTATAAAAACCGGAATGTCCAACTGATAAGGCTGAAAATTTTTTCACTTGTTATTTACAGTAAGATAAATACATTCACCAACTTTTATTAAAATAAAACCATTTAAACTGGGTGTTCGGATTTATATGTCACTTAGTATATTTGCACAAAAACAGAAAAAAAGAGCACGCCTTACGATTTGTGTTCAGAAAAAAACGTTTTTTTAACCATTTTTCAAGTCTGAATGAGTCAAATCTATATCGACACGTAATAGCATATATTACGATACTTAAACCTTCAACCGTGGGATTACATACGTATACATGTTAATTTCCATTAATTTGAGTTATATCTATTCATTAGAATTCAACAGTAACCGAAAACAATTTTTTTTTTCATGAAATTCAAATTCCTATTTATACATCATCCGTTTGTAAACAGAGACAATTTAGTATGCGACAGAATTAAATTTTTCGTCGTGATTTCAAGATTCTACAAATATATATAGTCCGAAAAAATAGAACAAGCATAAAATGAGTTCATCCTTGCATTCCCGTACATTTCGCTTCCTAAAAGCGACACTTGTGAGCCTTTCAGTATTGTATTTAAACTATTCGTAAGCCAGACATTTTTATTACCCAAACATGACCCAAGAAAACACATGTAAATTATTAATAGTCTTCGTCAGATGTAATGAATTTTTCAAGTTTATCTAAAGGAACTGGTCGTAATCAAGTTCCACCGTCCGGTATGTAAAATCCAAGACCTCAAGCATTCCATTTTACCTTTCAGATAGTGCAGTAGAACGCGATGAAGGTGATCGTAGTGATTCTAGTGACTTGTGCGTGCTTCGTGTACGGAAGCAACGTCAGCAATGCGGTTCTGAATCACAACACCAACGAAACTTGTGAAGAACGTTCGGTTTGTGTACGAAAATGCTGTCCGCAAGGTATGGCTTTGAAAAACAGAAACTGCACGCGCTCAGATCTCGAATTCGGCTTTCCCGTTTACGATGGGAAGCAAAAAGTGAGTGACAGCACTTTCAAGTTCGATGTCGTTCACGGGAAGTCTTGTAAATCAGGCAAGGTATATAAGCTCGGCAAGGAAAACGTCCCTATGTATTTTGTGCAAAGGAACGGAACGTTATATTGCCCGAGGTTTGACAAGGAAAGACTTCTGCTTTATGACGAGTACTGCTTGGAAAATATCGTTCTTCCAACCCATGTAGAGTTCGCTGCTTTGATTTGCTTTACGGCCCCTGATACCATAGTAGTTGAAGAGTACTTTGATGGATCCGAATATTATGGTGAGTTATTATTTCTAGTACTGAAAGAAAAAAATGACCTACATGTAACAGTTGTGAGAAAATGCGGCATATACAGTTTTGTCTCATTGACAGTTTGGCAAATGAAAGAAATCAGATTTCTCTCTTTTTGTATATTCAAAAGATATTATGAATAATTTATGAAAGAAGAGTTTTTTCGCTCTCGTTTCCACGTCTTGAAGTTTTTGGAAAAAACTTTACTTTTGATATTCTATCTTCTCAGCAAAACAGGTTAGTACTCATCCACATCTTTAGAATCGTTATTATTGATTTTTTAAAACTATTTTTTCTACTATTAATCGTCTTCTATTTTATGGAAAAGTGGTCAATGATTTTTATCAATACGAACTTTTAAGGCAATTTTCATATATTGGTTATAAAATTTTCATTAAGGTCGAAAATACCCCATTTTTGTGAAGACATGCTACGAATCTTTCAGATGTGTGCATTTTTGTGATCTTTGAGACTGAACTACAACTACTTTTTAAAATACGTCCTCAAACAGCTTCTTTGTTGCAGAATTTTCGGCAAAACATTTTTTAGAAACGATTAATGTCATGTTTATTGATTTTTAAAACTATATTCCTCTACTATTAATGGACATTTATTTAGGGGGAAACTATTATCAACTGCAAATTTTCCGAGAACACATTTTTTGGAGAGCAATTTTCATATATTGCTTCTAAAAAAATGTAGAGATAGTATTTGCATGTATTTTTAAGAAGTTATAAAAATCATGTATATACTCATACAATCTATTATTAAGGTATAAAATACCTCATTTTTATGAAGATGCGCTACGAATTTCTACATATGTGCATTTTATCGTATGTGATTTTTGAGACTGCCTTTACGGCCTTTAACTCCTTTTTTCGAACAATTTCTGGCGAAATAGGCGCATATTTTTTGAATTTATATCAAAAGGGAATTAACTGCCAAACACTTTGTTGTCAATACCTAGTTATTTTGAAAGGTTCTCTGTTTTTTAGAACGAAATAACGGAACACATTGTATCCAATAAAATTTCTTCATATACAGGGTGTTTCAGTTTATTGTTGCATAACTTTAAGATTCGACAGAACTTTTAAAATTAATGCATAAAGTCTATATAAACATGGGTCTAAAAATGCGTGACTTCCGAGATACAGGGTGTTTAAATTTACTTTTTAAAATAGTTTTTTTTTAAATATTTCGAACAATATTTGATGTATAACAATGAAAATTGGTATACAAGGGTTTTTTGGTACGACAAAACGAACCAGGGGCATAGTTTTACTGTAGCCGCTAGAGGGCGCTCTCTACTGCACCTGAACTGTATTAAAATGCCCGAAAAATTTTTCTTAGTGCAATATTTTGCTTTTTAAATAGAAAAACTGATTCTTCGCACTTTTCAACATAAAAAAACTCTTGTGAGTTTTCGTTATAGTTAGCCGTTTTTGAGATATTTCGATTTTTAAGGTTCGATGCATTTTTAATTATTTATGGGAAAATAATATTTTTTTTACATTTTCGATTTGGGCATTACAAGTAATTAAGATGATCGTTTAGATTGTGTTTTTAAACACAGCAATAATTCCTAACTCCAAATAAACACAAAAAAACAGAATATTAATTTGTTTAATTTTCCAATATTATTTTTAACAAATTAAATTAATTATTTACAACTAAAATGCTATTGGATAGTTAGGACAAACATACAAAACCTAAAGTAGTGGCTCGAAATGTAAACCCAATTGTTCAATACACAATTCACATCTACGAATGATCAAACGTGGTATAGCATTATTCAAATAAGGCCTTATTTCATCACATGCATTCCTAATTCTGTCTATTAGCATATCTCTTGTGGTTACGGGAGTCTGGTACACTTTTTCTTTTAGAAATCCCCACACAAAGAAATCTAATGGATTTAGGTCAGGGGATCGTGGAGGCCAGGCGACTGGTCCTCCACGGCCGATCCATCTTTCTGGATAATTTTCGTCCAGCCAGTTTCTCTCGAATAATGAGCTGGACAACCATCAAGCTGGAATCAGGCCAATCTTCTTAAATCTAACATAACATCATCCCACATATTTGCATGTTCAGCCTTTAAAAATTCCAAGAAGGTCGCAGCAATTAACCTTGCAGGCAAAAGGTAGGGTCCAAATAGTCGATTACGGTAGATACCAATCCACACGTTCACACTAAATTCATGCTGAAAATTTCATTCCCGAACTGCATGCGGATTTTCATGCGACCATATATGTTGATTATGAAAATTTACCACTCCATGTCTAGTGAAGCATGACTCATCGGGCCATAAAACGTTACTTAAAAACTCCCTATTATTATCAGTTCTATCAAGAATCCACTGACAAAATGTGATTCTTCGTTCTCCGTCCCCTTGCTGTAGTCCTTGCACAGGTTGCAAATGGTAAGGACGTCTATGGTCATTTCTAAGAACACGGTGAACATGGCTTGCTGAAATTCCCAAGGCACCAGAAACTCTCCTAACACTTGTGGTACGGATCTCTATCAAACTCACGCAGGGTAAATCTGCGCTGACGAACATTTATGTTTTGATCACTTTGGAGATTTCCAAAACCATTTTCAATTATTTGGCGATGCACTCTTACAAATACTGAGCGAGTTGGATGTTGTCAGTTTGGAAATCTTCGTGCGTATTCTCTGGCTGCTTCTGCTGCGTTTCCATTTACAAAGCCATACACAAAATGAATATCCGCTAACTCTTGATTGGAGAATAAAAATGGCATTTTTATAAAACTTACAAAAAAAAAAACAGGTAAATTCACAATTGCAAAAAACGTTTCAGGTTTCAACAGACATCAAAACTAACTGTCAACTAATTGACGTTTAACCTTATTCTGCTTTCAATTTCAAAAATATTTGCAGGCACAGCCTACTTCTAAAAATTATCGAGATACTGACTTTTTAACGTTATTTTATCATAAATAATTAAAAATGCATGGAACCTTAAAAATTGAAATATCTCAAAAACGGCTAACTATAACCAAATTCACAAGAAAGCTTTTTTATGTTGAAAGGTGCGAAGAATCAGTTTTTTTTATTCGAAAAGCAAAAAATTGCACTAAGAAAATTTTTTCGGTCATTTTAATACACTACACGTACAGTAGAGAGCGCCCTCTAGCGGCTACAGTAAAACTATGCCCATGGTTCGTTTTGTCGTACCAAAAACCCTTGTATACCAATTTTCAGTGTTATACATCAAATATTGTTCGAAATATTTAAAAAAAAACTATTTTAGAAAGTAAATTTAAGCACCCTGTATTTCGGAAGCCACGCATTTTTCGACCCATGTTTATATAGACTGTATGCATTAATTTTAAAAGTTCTATCGAATCTTAAAGTTATGCAACAATAAACTGAAACACCCTGTATACTATCGGACTTACGCATAAGAATCATACAAAATAAAAAATAAACCTCGAACTGTCTTAAATAAATAGTTGTCTTTTATCTACTCAATTTGCTAAAATACCGAAATACGTTACCAAATAGAAGTACCTGTTTTACTGATAAATTTGACTACTTCTTATTCACTACTTAAATAGGATTACTCAATTTAGTGTCAATACTCTTATAACACTCCATTTTAACTTATATCTGTTTTCTGAGTTGTTTATCAAAAGTCCACAATGTATTTATTTTTTGCGGTTGATAAAGAACACACCGATATCTCATTGATCAACTAAAAATAGAAGATCGATGTAGATTTAGATATCTAAGCAGCAGCTGAGATATATTTTATTGAGTATACAGTGTGCATATTTGAAATACCATAAGTATTATTTACGATGCTTTTCTTGCTAATGAATATTCTTAGTTAACCGCACAAGTGAACTTTGTGAAACTTGGGAACGTGTCAATATATCTGACGGTCTCAAGAACCAAGGTGATATCGTGAAAGACAAGGTGCGCTATACCACCAAGGACTATTTTCAAGAAGACGACGCCACTTGGGGATGTGTTTGTCAAGTGAAAAGGTGTATCAGAAAGTGCTGTGAGACTCACAAGAAAGTGTCAAACGGAACTTGCGTGCCGAACCCTCGCGATAATTTCAGACTTGGTTTTTATGAGAATGTGACATCGGTTACATCAGTGAGTTTGAGCGATTTTGAGGTAAGGATATACGATTTCATGATCGATTTTGTTAATCATTTTAACAGCAGTTTTGCTTTTATCATCCGATTACATTGGATGGCCGAGTTCCATCAAATAGCTGCTTATTTCGGCTGGTGGGAGTCCAGATCGCCAAGGACTTGATCTCGCAAGAACTATACCGGCTGCTGCTGGAAAAGCTAGGCTATTCGTTTATATCTAAGAAGTGTTTTTCTCCATATGACCTCCTCACTCTGTACAAGATCCAGATAAGAGCTAGCCTCGAGTACTGCTCACATGCTTGGGGTGCTGCGCCCGCGGCTGATTCGGTGTAAAAAAATTGGTCGGAGCAGAGACTGAGCGCTTCCGCTTTAGCCCGCGAAATATTTATTTCAGATACTGGATAAAAGGTAGCGAATGTGCTAGTCCAGGCTCTATCTCTGTACCAAATTTCATCCAGATCCTTTCAGCTATTTTGGTAAGACTTTGTAACAAATATCCACACTTTCTCATTCATAACATTAGTGGAATCTATTCCGACTTTATCTTAAGGGCAGAAGGGGCACCTGACCCAGTTCTCCAGAGCATCCTGATCGAAAGTTCTCATGGGCTCTTAGCAAGCTTATGAAGCCGTTTCCATGATATACAGGGCGTGCCAAACCTTCAAGGTCATCGCAAGGCCAAGACACTTCTTTTGAAGTTCCATTTTTGATTTCGGAAATAAAAGAGTGGGACATTCCACAATGAAGTATCTACATTGAGCCACGACCTTTGTCAATAATAAATCCTGATCATACTAATTCTTTAGCTGAGCCTTGAAATGATAAAAAAGAACTTCATAATGATTAACCTTGACATTAACTTTCAAGATCACATCAAGGTCAAGTCACTTGTTTTCAAGAGTAACTCTATTTGATCATGGCCATTAAGGTAAAAGTAATCTTTTAGGTAATTTTTAAAATCACAGGTATCGACTATTTCGATATTATGCTGGTACATCTTTCGATACATCAATACAGGGTGTCCGCAAAGTTGGGGTTTTCCTTTACACGACGTGTAGATCTTGAAAACATACCATATACACCAATGTCTTAAGGGAACCGAGATAAAGGGCTCTGCAACATCAAAAATATCTGAATACCGTCCTGTAGCCGCGACATCACCGACTGGTACAAGGTCACTGACTCAACCCGACGACAGAACTGGGTCGCGGTCAGTGTGTCAGGTCAGTATGCAACCTTCAATCGACGGTTACGGTCACGCGTATAGAGGTAATCGCGTAGACGCGAATCCCTCAACAAGCACTAGAGACGTGGCTAGAGCAGTGCAAGTATTAAAACTAAAGTGTGGCAAACGCTGCGTGAAGAGGGGCTGTATCCGTTTCACGTCCAACGTGTACAAGCCCTTCAACCTGACGATTTTCCAGCAAGAGTGCGGTTTTGTGACTGTGAGTGGTTGTTGCATCAACATGACAATAATCCGGACTTTTTGAAGTGCATATTGGTGACAGACGAATCTACGTTCACTCGTAATGGGGTGAATAACTTTCGCAACACTCATGTTTGTTCAGTAGAAAATCCGCACGCTGTCCGTCGGGCACATTTTCAACAAACATTTTCGGTGAATGTTTGGGCTGGCATGGTGAACGGTATGCTCATTGGACCATTTATTCTCCAAATCGATTGGACGGGATGCAATATCTAGACTTTTTACGCAACATTTTGCCTTCCTTGTTAGAAGATGTGCCATTAAGTGTAAGACAGTCAATGTGGTTTCTGCGTCTGCTCGGTAGCGCTTCAGCTGATTTCATTTTCTGTTGGAGCGGTATGATTTCGGGCAGAGACGTACTTAGCCCTTCTCGTGGAGAGTGAGTACTTTTTCCTTTATTTTTTTTTACTTGGTCGCCCTCGTTTCACTACATATTACCTTTGCTATTTCAAGGGTAGTTGTTTCTGAAAAGGAAAACCCCAACTTTGCGGACACCCTGTATATTCACATCACGCTAAATCTTTTAAATATATCAACTATATGATACGCAAGTTGTCAAACTTGTTTTCTTTTTAGATAAATATCCAATAGCCCTTTAATAAATAATCAAAGCCCAGATTAGGCCTTCCATTTAAAGAAATGTTTTTGATGTGGCGCAAAATTGGGCCCCCCCTGTATAATTGTTAGTGTTTTAGAAATGTGCCCTCGGATACCATGTATAATAAGTAGTTTTTTTATAAGATTTTATTTAGGAGCAATATTCCGTTCTTGCATGTTCGAGTCGCCCTGTATATCATTGAAACGATTCATAGTATTGATAAGAGCTTTCGATCAGGATGCTCTACAGAGCTATTCTAGAAGTTTCAGCAACGCTCACCGTAAGATTTGAACCCCCTCCTTTCCAGAAAATGTCAAAACCGATATAAAACACTTGACAAAATCGATCTAAATCGTACGTAATCCTCCTTCCTTCAAGGTAGTGTTTGGTGCAAAGTGCGCGAAAGACCACGTCCACATCCTTCCGGATTCCAGCTCCGACCTTTACCTGCAAACCGATGGGAGCCTGTACGTGAAGAGCTTCGATTACGCGTACGATTACGCGTCGTACTGTGTGGACGTGTTTGAGAATGACCAGATTTCGGCGTTGCTGTGTGAGAAATATGAGACGGGTTCTGATCTGCAGAGGACTATCTATGCGAAGGGTAAGCACGGAGACTGGTTGGAGTGGTTTTGGTGACAAGCTTGGTGGTGCTCACTAATATTAGCCAGGGAAGAGACAGTTTTCAGGAAATTGTTTCTGTAAAGCTAGATTTTCACTAAAATCCCCGACGGAACCTTTCCATCCCAGTAAAACTGTGAACATGCAATTCTATCCAGGGGCCGGATCGAGTCGCCTTGATCCGTTCTGAATCAGAAAGATTGTTCTAAATTAACAGAAATATCGCACCTTCAGGGTGGCGCATCGAAAATGAAACAAACGCATTTACTGGCAGCTCAGTTTTTTTTTTTGAAAAACGCTCAGACCCGTCGATTTTGTTTTCGAGGATGACACAAGTTTGGCAAAAAATCACGTTAGCACGTGCAGCCCCCCTTTTAAAGGTCTTTCAATTCCCTTTATAATGATATAAATAAAATTAATGTACTTCAGTTCAGTAGTTTTGAAGACTGATCAACAGCCAAAAATATCCTAAATAAAATCAACAAAATATTACTATTTTTAATGTGCTAAAACCGGAATGAAACTTATTTTTTCAATATTAGTTCAAGTTTCAGAGATACGGTAATTATATGTGTTCCTGCTGTGACAGTGTTAATATACTGTAATTCACAAGAATGCACGTGCTACATTTTTATATTCGGCAAGGAAAGATGATGTAATCGGCATGATTGTGTTACGTTATACATACGTGTACATTACATTGTTTTATATTAGCCATTTTTTCCTCAGTTGGCTGACAGCGTTCATGCAAGATGTCTCGAAAGTGTGTATACAATCCAGATCAGTTTTGTTACGTGTGTGGTGATGTGACTTTTGCGTCTCACAGACGGTCTATTACTCCACTAATAACAAAGGCATATCAGCTTTATTTCGGTTGTAAACTAGGTGATCAAGACAAACAGTGGGCACCCCACATCTGCTGTAATACATGTGCTTCAAGTCTGAGGAGCTGGTTAAATGGCAAAAAACGGTCTATGCGCTTTGCTGTCCCAATGGTTTGGAGAGAGCCTGCAAATCATATTAATGATTGTTACTTTTGCATGGTACCTTGTGTTGGACAAGCCACAGGTATGTCCAAGAAAAAAAAATCGGTTATTAACTACCCAAACATACCATCTGCGATGAGACCTGTGCCTCACAGTGACGAAAATCCTATTCCAAACACCCAGAATCCTACACTTGCGAATCAGAAAACGAATCAGATCATGGCGATCGAGTGATTCGTCAGGAAGAAGATATGCCATCAACGTCAGGAGATCCTGATTTTATACCGAGCACGTGATGCCACCAATCGCACAAAATAACACAGTCAGAATTAAATGATCTTGTAAGAGATTTAGAACTTCCAAAATGTAAGGCAGAGTTACTTGGATCAAGACTGCAGCAGTGGAACTTGTTAGAAGACTATGTTTCGGTATGTGTTTTTCGTAAACGCCACAAAGACTTAGAACCATTTTTCAATATGGAGAATAACTTGGTTTTCTGCAGTAACATAAAAACATTTGTTGTTGAATTTGAACACTTTTTTGTGATTTATTAACGCTGTGAATATGTCGAGGAAGTGTAATAATGATCCTAACTCTTTTGTTATGTCTGCGGAGAACTAACATTCAAAAAACAACGACGAAATTTTACGAATCTTGTGTTGGAGTGTTATCACCAATGTTTTGGTTTTTCTGTCGCCCATCAAGACAAATCCTGGGCCCCTCACGTCTGTTGCATAACGTGTGTGAAAAATTTAACTGACTGGAAGAAAGTTGCACGACCTATGCCGTTTGCTGTACCCATGATATGGACTGAACAGCGAGATCACGTTCAGATTGCTATTTTTGTCTCACAGACATAAAAGGTATAAATTACAAGAAAAAAACCACAGTTATTTACCCTAACTTATCTTCGGCTATAAGACCAGTCTCTCATTGTAAAAAATTGCCAGAACTAATACCAGTTGCAACTACGTCTGTTGAGAACAATTCACAACCGTCACTTCAGGTGAATGTGTTGACGAGGACGATGACTTGAGTTAAAAGGAATTGTAAACGAGCCACATTTGATAACTCAAGGAGATCTAAATGATTTGGTTCGGGATTTAAATTTGTCAAAAAAGCAGTCAGAACTATTAGGATCACGTCTAAAAGAATGGAATTTGCTACATCATAATACAAAAGTTAGCTATTTTCGAAACCGTGATCAACACTTCAGAACATATTTTTCTCAGGATGGAGATTTGGTGTTTTGCAATAACATAAATGATATTATGAAAATGTTGGACATAGATTTTGATCTCTCTCAGTGGCGTTTATTCATCGATTCTTCGAAAGCAAGTCTAAAAGTAGTGTTATTGCATAATGGAAATAAGCTTCCGTCTGTACCTCTGGCCCATGCTGCAAATATGAAAGAAACCTATGAAAATATGAACCTTTTACTTGAAAAAATAAATTACAGTACATATTCCTTCAACATCTGCGGTGATCTTAAAGTTGTTGCACTATTACTTGGACTTCAGCTGGGTTATACAAAGTTTTGCTGCTTTTATGTGAATGGGATAGCCGAGACAGAACTAATCACTATATAAAAAAACATGACCTACACGTGCATCGTTAGTTCCTGGGCAAAAAAACGTAAAGTATTTACCCCTTGTACAGCCAAATAATGTGCTTCTACCACCAATGCATATCAAATTAGGATTAATAAAAAAATTTGTGAAGGCAATGGATCGCAATGGGAGTGGATTTTTGTATCTAAAAGAAAAATTCCCTAAAATAAGTGATGCAAAGATAAAAGAGGGTATTTCTATTGGCCCTCAAATTAGGGAGTTAATAAAAGATTCAAGATTTGAAGAAAAATTAAGCGATTTAGAAACATCTGCATGGAAGGCTTTTAAAAATGTTGTTTCAAATTTTTGGGTAACCACAAGAGTGACAGCTACAGAGAGTTGGTTAGCGAGCTATTATTGTCATATCAAGCATTGGGTTGCAACATGTCACTTAAGATCCATTTTTTAGACTCGCACCTGATTTTTTTTCCTGACAATTTAGGGGCTGTCAGCGACGAGCACGGTGAGAGGTTCCATCAGAACATTTCTAATATGGAAAAGCGGTACCAGGGCAAATGGAGCCCAAATATGTTAGCAGATTACTGCTGGACAATTAAAAGGACCACCAGAAGCTAAATATTCAAGAAAATCTTAGATTATTAAGTCATTTATTAAAAAAAACTTTTGATTTACGAGATCTGTGTTTTCTTAATATTTTAAATTATTCAATAGAATAAAGTCCTTGTCTAGCAAAATTTTTTTAACTGTTTATTTTTCTTACAATCACCAATTAAAGTAAAAAATATCAAAAAAGTCCGTGTGGCACGACAAAGTTAAAATTTTGTTGACCAGTGATTATTTCCGAAAAATATTTCGATACTTTCAACTCTTTCTGCTGTGGAATATACCATGATTAATTTATGTAATAAAGCGTTACAAATTATTTTAGCAACAAAGTTTGGTCAAATCAATCGCAAACTATGTACTAAATTTCTATTTAAAATAAGTACCAGATATTTCCTTATCTTTCTTCAAGAAATAACTTTTTTGCCACAAAAAAACGCTCCAACAGCTATTTTCAATAACAAAATGATAAACCATGGGCGTGAAGAAAAGCATTTACTTATTAAGTAATTCTTTTAGTCAAGTTTCTTCTGAAAGTAATCAGATGTACCTATGAAAGTCTACTTAAAGCTTTAAATCAATAAATCTTCAAAACTATGAACTGAAGCTCATGTATTTTACATCATTATAAAGGGAATTGAAAGGCCTTTTAAAATAAGGTATCACTCGACCCCCTTTCCTATTAAGATTTTAGAGTTGGTGTCACCCCCGCCCAGGGGGCTGCACGTGTAACGTGCTTTTTGCCAAACTTGTGTCCCCCTCGAAAACAAATCGTCGGGTCTGAGCGTGTTTTCAAAAAAAAAAACTGACCTACCAGTAAATGCGTCTGTCTCGTTTTCGATGCGTCACCCTGTATAAAAATACGAGTATATATCATTAAAACATATAATCTCGAAAACACGTCATAACAACGTACACAACTAGACGTCATTACGACGTTGATATTTGGAACAATCAGTTGACGCGTTATCATCAAAT